TGAGCAAAACACTTCATAGACATGTTTTTATATATTTGTATCTGAGACGCTATTGCATAAAAATAGCATGATAGGTGACCTTTAAAATGTGCTATACAAATAAAATAACCTTGAACACACACACGCACACACGCGCACACACGCACGCACACACACACACACACACACACACACACACACACACACACACACACACACACACACACACACACACACACACACACACACACACACACACACACACACACACACACACACTCACTCACTGCTAAGTAGCCCCAGACTGCTCTCTGAGTTAAAGTTTCATAAGTTTGCTCTCCTCTGCTCGTTATTCCATTGTCTGTCTAAGAGGATGTCACTGTGATTTATGTCAGAGAGTTTTAATATGCGGAGGGAAGGCTGTTTTTGGTCGCGATGAATGGTTTAAACTCAGGGGAGCCGTGACAGTCGAGCTATGATATGTCCCCCTGTTGAGAGGAGGGATGGCTCTCCTTTGTCTGCCATCGGCGGGGTCCGCTGGGACTCAGAAAAGCTCCCTTTATGAGCATTTAGGACATTTGTAACAGACTTAATTTACCTTGAAATAAAACCAGCTTCCCCAAGTAAGAAAGTGTGCATGTTTTGCTGTCCTGCATGACAATAGAAAGTCTTTTTAAATTGTGAATCCCCTCCCTGGATTTGAATGTCCTCTCTTCATTGACTCCAGATGTCACAACGTTTTAAACAGAATGAGGGCTGTTGATCTGGAAAGGGCCTTAGATTTGATTTTGGACAGGAAGGGGGCTGTGCAGATGGCTTTCACTCCCATAAGGGGAAAACAATCATGTGCCAAAGTGCCTGCAGCATTATAAGAACCATTTGTTTGTGAGCATATTGTAAAGTTTAAGTCGTGGGTTGTAAATGTTTATTGCGGTGTACTGGCTCCATTTGCATTACGCACCACCTGGAGTGCTGGAGATAAACGTGCTGCTGGTGACTTCTTCTTACACTCCAAAGTATCTCAATTTGAATGCAGTGTGCTCGTTTGACACGAGGAAAAGGCTGTAAATGGTTTAACAGCGGCAAATATTAGTGTTGACGACTCCAGATACGAGCCAGTAATCTTATTTGGACAAGCAAATGGAGTCTGTGACCCCCAGCGATTTGGCTTGGAGAGCACATCCAGTCTGTTTAATATGTTAGGAATGAGAGGCAATAGATAAACATTTACAAAGCTGGTCCAGAAAACTGCACAGGATAAGAAGTTTGTAAGCAACGGACTCACAAATATCTGATTGCACATGTCCGATGTCTTTGATGACCTCTGAAAGATGTTGTCTTGTTGTTAGATATCAAGTGTTAACATCCACATGGTCACAGACAGGATCTCAATGCTTCAAGGACTTGTAAAAAAATACAATTTGGACTTCCTGTTGCCTTTATTTTGGGTCATTTGAGCAAATTCAGTTGTTGTTTCTGTAAGGATGTCAATGCTTCAAGGTCTTAAGAAAATTAAATATTGACTTGCCTTTTTATTTTGGGTCATTTGAGCACATTAAGTTGAATGAAAAGTGGCCAATTGTTACAAAATCAATCCAAACTCCAGTTATACAGTCAACAGTCGTAAACAAAACACATGCTGCTGAAGCCACTGTGGAGGATCCTGACATGTCAGTGATTCCAAGGTAAACGTTCTATAAAAAGTGTACATTTCATCTCCATTTAAAGCTGCAGGAAAAGGAGCGACGTGGGAAAAAGGGAACTGATTTGACTCGTGGCCCGCTGCTAAATGGATCCATTTGAAGAGGGTTGGCGGGCGGCAGAATGAAGGAGATTTGGATTGGTGTTAAGTGGAAGAGGCTTTTTAACTCTGCTGCCAGGTCTGAGCCTTTAAAGAGAGGAAGTGTAAACGTGGCTCACTGGTGTGACGGGTTCTCATGGGGCTACTGTAGCTGCCGCTGTGGGATAAACGGAGAGGACAGGAGTGAGAGGTGCAGAAATGACAACATGCTTAGTGGGTTTCCCCCTTTGTATTCACATTGATTTGACTTAAGCTCACCACTCTGTGTTGTGCTGCAGTTGGACTTAACGCGATGTCTTGTCCACTTGTTTGTGGCTCTCTGTGAGGCTTTAAAGAAGATGTTCTAGTTGAAGTAAAACATGCGGGACTATTTTTGGGGGATTTTTTGTGTTATAATGCAGTTTGTAAGTAGTTTTTTTCCTAGATTCAACACAAATCACCACTTCAGCGCATAACTTGTAATCTTTCATATTTATATATAAAACATTTTTTATTTTTTATTTGTTGCCTTTTTACAAAGAGACGAATGGGTTTTCATTGATTAAATGATTAATCCATCATCAGATACATAGACTAACATATTCATATACAATGCTCTCATTTTGTTTTTTGAAATCACTGCATTGGACAAAATGGTGTACTTTTATGTAGATGTTTTAATTATGTGTACTTTATTTAAATAAGGTGCCCTTTAGGCCAGACTAAGCAGATTACCTTTTTTTTCCTTTGTATTTTGTCTGGTTATACAATGTCCGTGTTTCAGGTATTTTGTTTTTATAACAGAAAGAAAAAATGTTATTCCCAACATGCATTTCAGATCATTGGCACTGTGACACGGAAATAATTGTTTATCTCCGTGCAGAAGACAAAAACAACTTAACGTTGTGAGCAGATTTGTGAGTGTTGTAATTGGGGACCGATGTGTTCTTGTTCTTAAGCATCCGAATGTGTTCTGTACCAGCGTGTTCCTCTCCGTTCTGTCCTGATTTGTGATGATAATCTCCGCTGTGTGTTTGTTCCTGCTGTTTACCAGACGCAAAGGAGAGGTCGGCCAAGAGATTCTCCGTGGACGGCGTTTTCAATTACACCTCCCTGCTGCTCAGCCAGGAGGACGACATGCTTTACGTCGGAGCGAGGGAGGCGCTGTTCGCCCTCAGCCTGTCGGACATCAGCAAGGCCAAGCTGCAGAAGAACGTGAGTTTATAGAAATGTGGAGAAGGGGAGGAAACAATGCAATGCAAAGATAAAGTTGACTTGGAGATAATTTACTCTCATGGTTAAAATGGCATTTCATGTCGTGCTGTTGCACATCTGGTTTGCGATCCCTTTACCCACGTCATCCCCTCTATCTCCCGATCTACGATTTTGGCTTGCAACGATTATGAAAACAACATAATCGAAATGAAACGATTATTTATTTTATTTTAATTTTTTTATTGGTTTTTCAGTTGAGTTATACTTAAAGTTCAGGGGTTATCAACTGTGCGCTAAAATTTGAAAATACACAACCGAAAAGAATCTGCCCCTTCCTTCAGACTTCCTTACAGAGCCCCTCCTCCAACACACACGAACGCGCACATGACCAATGAGGGCACGAGATAAGTTTGTGCACAGATGGAAGGCTGACAGGCAGGTAGGCCGTCCAATTATCTGTTCCGGGCCGGGGCAGATAATTGGTCGTGCTTTTTACAGCGCCACGGCTTCCACAGATGAAATATTTGTATATATTTATTGTCAAAGCATTTAATATATTCATTGCTATCGGGATGTTAAGAGCATTCCAGAATATAACAAAAAGTGTTTCTGAAGTGAATTACCTACCCCACCTTTAACTCCCAATCGTAATTGAAAAGTATGTTATTGACTCAAAAGATATCTTACTGCTTCCGCTAAGAAAAAATTGTCAGTTTCCTGATGGATAAAAACTAATGTTTGTTTTCCAAAGCTGACGTTTAACGGACCAAACTTCTCACTGCCGATTGATAGGCTCATAATCCCTTGATCCTCCTTAGCATCGGTCATGTTATGCCTAGCAGCGGTGTGTCAGCGAGTATAAACAACCTCTGAAATGTCCAAATAGATCGAGTATTCAACTTAGCCATGTAGTCATTTGAGTTAAATAGCAGCTTTCTTCACTTTCTATACCGCACAGTTCTGTGTATACATTTGATTTTAGAGAAACAATCCTCCTCAGTAGAAACAGCAGGGCTCCTTGTATTAGGCATTACTTATTCAGTGTTTCTTCTTTTTCATCTTCAGCTGACGTGGGGCACTCCTGCTGGAAAAAGAGAGGAGTGCAGCTTCAAAGGGAAGGACCTGGAGGTGAGAGGCATCTTTTTACTAGTCCAGAAAAAACGCTCAATAATGAAACACCCCAGGAAGAGAGCTGTATAATGACACTAACTAGAGCATGGGTTCTCTTGTACCGGGTGTTTGTTCTGTGTGAATCCTTTCACTCGAGTCGTGAGAAGATAAAATCGGCATTGAGTTATGTGTCGACAAACCTTTCCACCAGTTACAAATAGATTCATCAAGTGTGCACGCTCGCCGGGGAATTGCTCTTTTCCCGTGCACTGCTACTTTCTCTCTGTCTGCCTGTTACCTTGTTGTCATGCCAGCTGCTGTATCCCTAGGCGACAAACCTTGGAAATCTTTACACTGCAGTATACAACTCTAGTCTGTGTGTTACAGAGAAAAGCCCACCAGGCGTACTGCATGTGAAGTCTTCCCCACAGCGTTTGAGGAAAACTATTTCCTTTTGGTCTAATAGATTAATTTATGATGCAAGCTTCAGTATCTCAGGCTCAGATTTGAAGGAGCTCTAATAAAAACACATTAAACGGTTAGAATATCTCTTGGACTCATGGACCTCACACTCTCTCCATTTGTTCCCCATCCAGACTGATTGCTTCAATTACATCAAAATCCTCCTGCGGCTGAACAGCACTCATCTCTACGTGTGTGGCACTTACGCCTTCAGCCCAATCTGCGCCTACATAGTAAGTAACAACCTCTCAGTCTACCTTTTGTTCACCTACGGGATTTAATGTTCCTCCTGTTATCAGACCTTCAATTTCTCTCCTCTCATTTCTGAATTTAGATGCATTGTTTGTGTGTTCTGGTTGAATCAAGCTCTTTTCATCCACCGTGTCAGTATTGGATTTGCGGTTGTCCGACCGTAACCAAACGCTTCTGAGGCACTTTAGCCAGACAAGTCAGCAGGGGGTACACGGGCTGTGTGGTTTCCAGCAGGAGAGCTGTTTATCTAGCAAAGGAATACATCTGGAGTGATGGTTACCAGCAGGAGGATGACATTGATTTCAGTGAGAGGGAGGCCATCCAGTTTGGTGACAACTCGGCTCTTAAAACAGTTCAGAATCTCCGCTTTGACGTCAGAGGGAAAGACAAACACCAGACGTCTCAGACTGGAGATCACTTGGCTCGACTTTATTCCCTGAACTCAGATTACGTGTGTGTGTGTGTGTGTGTGTGTGTGTGTGTGTGTGTGTGTGTGTGTGTGTGTGTGTGTGTGTGTGTGTGTGTGTGTGTGTGTGTGTGTGTGTGTGTGTGTGTGTGTGTGTGTGTGTGTGTGTGTGTGTGTGGCCTAGCATTACTATACTTGTGGGGACCTAAATCTGTTTACACAGTCACGTGTGGGGACTCGCTTCCCTCATGGGGACAAATTGGAGGTCCCCATGAGGGGAATCATTAATTTTAGGGTGAAGACTTGGTTAGGTTTAGGATTAGGGTTAGGGTTAGGGTTAGGCATGTGTTGGTTATAGTTAAGGTTAGGATAAGTCTCCAGGAGATGCATGTAAGTCAATGTAATGTCCCCTGAAGTGGTGTGTGTGTGTGTGTGTGTGTGTGTGTGTGTGTGTGTGTGTGTGTGTGTGTGTGTGTGCGTGTGTGTGTGCGTGCGTGTGTGTGTGTGGGTATGTGTGGGCCGCCTAGCATTACTATACTTGGGGGGACCTAAATCTGTTTACACAGTCACGTGTGGGGACTGGCTTCCCTTATGGGGACAAATTGGAGGTCCCCATGAGGGGAATCATTAATTTTAGGGTGTAATTTTAGGGTGAAGACTTGGTTAGGTTTAGGGTTAGGGTAAGGTTAAGGGTTAGGTTTAGGCATGTGTCGGTTATGGTTAAGGTTAGGATAAGTCTCCAGGAAATGCATGTAAGTCAATGTAATGTCCCCTGAAGTGATGTATACATGGTATGTGCGTGCCATAGTGAAGAGAATTTTTCTATGGGTCCGTTTTCTGTTAGTAAACATGTAAGCAGCTAATGCAGCCTCGAAAGTTGTGTTGCCTTGATTTTTTTACAGTGGATGAAAAAATTAGAGTTTCTTTCAAATGTGTAATGTCACGCCCTCTCTTGGACTGACAGTGTTTCTTGAGAAAGTTATTATACACATTCACTAGTTTGGACATTCTGATAGGATTACAGGAATAAAATGTAAATACAAATCCATAAAAAAACTATTATGACAGGATCACTAAGAGAAAAAGCACACAGCATATTGTTTTAGGTGGCTTGTGCTGACTTAGTTTCACTTTATCGTGAGAAAGAGTCATGTGTTTCCATACAGATATGAAGCCTCTCAGGAAACACAATGATAAAAGGAAGAAGCCTGTGAAGCAGAGACCCAGCGGACACACAGCTGCTGGAAGCTCTCATGATGTCATGAGGGGAGACCCACAGGAACAAGATCTGACACACACACCCACCCACACACACACCCACCCACACACACACACACCACACACCACACACACAACACACACACACACACACACACCACCAACACACCACACACACACACCACACAACCACACCGACACACACACAAACCACACGCACACACACCCACCACAGCACCAGCACACACACACACACACTCACAGCACACGCAGCAAAGATCTTCATGACCAGCTAGAGAGGCCTATCACAGCTGGAACGCCAAAGGATCTGCTGCAGCCAGCACTCCATACAGCTAACACTCACACGCCACACCACACATCACACGACACACACAACCACACACACACACATACACACACACACACCACACACACACAACACACACACCACAACACACACACACACACACACACACACACAACACACACACACACACACACACACACACACACACACCACACAACACACACACACACACACACACACACACACGAGCTGTGGTGATAAGTGACAGTTTTTACCAGAGAAAATGCAGATGGGAAACTCCACCATGCACTGAAAAGGTCTTGCTCTTGTCAGCAGCTGCGAGTTTCTCTGCTCGATACACCGCTGGCGACACTGCATGAGTGTGTGGTTATAACACAGACAATAAGTGTTTTATCTTTTGGTGGGCTTAGAGTTCAGATGAAACATAACACCATTATATGAGTTTTTCGATATATCCTTTTCCCTCCTTATATATTATGATTTGGCATCTTTACCAACGATAGCACGAGCTGCCGGCCCCCAACTTTAAATAAAAATCTCTTAAACGTTCAATAATTCTCCTCAAATGTACCTCATAGGAAACATTGTCATCCTTAAGTAGTTGAATTCCCATCTATGCCCATATTACTACACATCGACGTAGATAATACATAAAACATTACTAACAGGAACACCCGACAGATTTTGAAAACACTTGTCCCTCAGTATATCCTGCACATCTAATTATTGATTTCATCGGGTTTTTCTTACAATTTCTATAAACCATTTCATCCCATTCCTCCTTTACGCCCTTCAAGTCAGTCTCTTCTTTTATCTATTTTGTGTGTTCTCGGACAAAGGGTGAGCAGGAGGCACACCTGTATGGGCAGTAGCACATGCTGCTTTCAGGTCTAGCACAGACGCAGATGCCCTTTCTTGATTGCATCCAGCCCTTAGCGGAATTTAACACATGACGCTGTTGTAGGTTGCTGATGAATCGTGATTGTAAAAGCTGTATTAAGGGTCTGGCGGATTAGATAAGACACTTTTTGGCATTTTCCTTTCATATTGTGACTTATTTCAATGGAGCTGCAATGGAGGGCTTGAGGCATGACTCCCCTGCTCAACAGGGTTTTTCACAATACCATCCTTTCGTCTCTTCTCTAGTTGGATGAAGACAGTCTATGACGTTTCTCCTATAAGCCGCCTCTTTGCTGAGGCTATTTGACTAAATAGAAATATTATTTTTGTTAGAAAGATCACAGTTTTAGGCTGCAGTTTACATCTCATAATCCTGTAAATGTCCAACAGGATCACTTTTCCTGTCGTTCTTGTTCTTCCAGAACTTCTTCCATCATATGTGTCTTACGTTCACTCTATATACGCGTGTCTTTCTCACTCTCTTCAAACCGTCTCATAGCTAGCAGTCTCAAATAATCAAAGCCGTTTTCAGGCGGAAAACTCATTTGGATTGTCTTTTCGTTCTACAAAACTCAGCACATTTGAACACTTTCTTGCGCATCCTCTGTAGCATCTGTGGGTGGCCGTCTCTTCAGGATTATCCATACATTAAACTCCAAACATTCCTGAGGTTAAGAGATGATAGTGTGTTAGTGGTTTAGATCTGAGAAAAAAATATAAATGATGTGTGAATTAACTGAGGTCCATACATTTTTAGCTGATGATTTATATTCATTATTTTGTTTGAAGGTGTCTCTTTCTTGAGGAGAGGTCTTACTCTAAAGATGCCTGAATTACTAAAGCAAAAAATGCTAATTGCTTGTACAGCTGACTTGATAACGTATAAACTTGTGACTGTAATTTAGAAATATCTACTGGGGGTCCTGTAAAATATAAGAATTGGAGTCGACACACATTAGGCCAAAAAGAATATCTACATTTAGTCAAGCAAATGGTTAACACTAAGTCAATATCTCAGAAGCTCTTCGTAAACCTTTACCTTCAAGATACACCCACATCGTCACTTCACTCATCACAGCTTCCCAAAGACAAGGCACGCTGACGGCTAAAACCCACAAGCAGGAGATATGATATCCTGTTTCTGTACATCCCCAACACCAAGACAACACACACACACACGGCACCACAGACATGCAGTCAAAGAGATAAATGCTTTAAGTTCATCTAAATTCCTTTCAGCCGGTATAATAGCTTTGAATATACATTCGCCATCTAGCAGTGAGTACGTACTATCAGCGATGTCAGCGCTACACACCAACACAGGCATCTACACACACACACATCACACACTAACACACTATCACATCACGAACAAGCGCACACGCGACACAACACACACACACACACACACAGCACACTACACAACTACAGTTTTTATCATCAAACACACACACGTACACATCGATAACACATCCATTGACACACTATGCACACACATGCAAGCGACCAAGCGTAGCGCCTCGGCAAGGTGGCATCAGGCAAGGCCAGTGGCTGAGCCACACATTGCCTGTGCATCCCAGCTTACAGGTGCAGGGCATGAATAGCGTCACACATGCTGCTGCACGTCGCCATATTTATTTAATTTAGATTTCTTACTG